GGGGTGCCCTTATCAACCCATGGGATGAGGCGCGCCATTGAGATGTGCTAGGTTATCGGAATCGTGGTCCTTTTGGCGGTAAACTATATTTTGCGAAGAACCAAGGACGGGCTATGTTTTTGAAAAAACCATCTCCCCATGTTAGGTGGTGCGTTTGGGGTTTGAGTTTAAATTGATTCTCATTAGTTTCTGGTACCGCATAACTCAGGCCAAGCCCCTCAAAAACCTTCAGTTGGCAAGGGGGATATTCAAGTGTTCAAATTTGACCATAGGGGGCTATTTGTGTAACTAAGGCACGTGATAGAGGGGACAGATCAGGAGACCATCAGCCAGAAACTAAACCCCAAAGCCCTAAAATCGATACCCGAAACCTTGAAGCCTGAAGCTATACACACCCTAAACCCTGAATCCTCTGGTAGTTTGAGTATGGGTAAGCCCTTTAAGCTTTCGGGTTTAGGGTTAAAACTTTAAACTACAAACCCTAAACCCTACAGCCCTAAACTCCCAACGACTACGAAGGCAAGAGAGACGCATCCAGTCACCCAGTGGTGGCCTTGACTTGGAGCCTTGCTCCTCCCCTAACGAACATTGTTGGCTCAGGGTAATAGGGCTCAGGGTTTTCGGGTAAGTTTAGGGGTTTATAGAAGTGGTATATGGTCTGGGTACTGAACAGGTTTAACGACCTTTTTTGGTTATTTGGTGGGGCTACGGCTGTGATCAGGCGACTGGGGCGGCTAAGATGTTCATTTTTAGCGTCGAAAATGTGGTGGGTCGAAAATGTGGTGGGTATTTGGAAGGTTTAGGGTTTAGGGTGAAAACGAGAGTTTCCAAAAATTAGGAATCTGTCTCTTAGGGTCTTTGTATTACTGGGGGTCTTCGGGCGTTGGGTATATGTAGATAAGGGAGACCTGAGTTTCATTCCAGCCCGCAGTAACTGTCCGTGGTCTTATTATAAGGGTTGATTGCACCTTGAACTACCTATTGTGGTAGCTCTTACTGTAAAGGGGAAATGACCTAACACACAGTGGCTTTCAAGGGACAGTATTCTTTGGAGGGCCTGGGGAGGGTAGTGCTTGGATGTTGAGTGTTTAGGGCGTCATGGTTCAAGGAGTGGGGCTCCACAATTGGATCCGGGTCATTTTTTCCTGGGGCCGTGCGCATGCCTTTCTGCTTTTGCGTGCAAGCTTCGGGACCACGGGTCAGGCTTCAGGGTTTAGGGTTCAGGGGATATAGTTTAGAAGAACTCCAAGTGAAGGGATCTATTTTCTGTGTTTTGTCATTATCTCTTTCAATCTCCTACTGTCATCATTACATGTTGGTATCACGTGGGAAATGCTTGAGATTCGCCCGGGGAAGATTTGTAACGTTGGGGAAGCAGGTCTGGCTGAGAGAGGTTAAGGGTTTGGGGTTTCGGTTTTGCTTTGCGGAAAGAGTAGGTGGGCGTGGGCTCTATAATACCCTAAACCCTAACCTAAACCCCTAAACCCTAAACCCTAAATCCTAAACCCTAGGTTGAACGTCTAAGGTCTTAACAGGTACAGGAGGTTCAGGAGCTAACATTCAGGCCTTTAGGGTTTGGGGGTGATTTTACGAGTACCCCAAACTCTGCCCTCGACCCTGAAGGGTTTGGCTGATCTCAGTGGTTAGTTTTGGAGAGTTTCCAACCTAATCCTGCATCCTCAGCTTTTCCCATGTACTCCCTTCAAGCAATTGGGGTTCAGGGGTTAGGGAGCCTAAGCCCCCCGAAGTGGGCTCTACTCTACTTTGTGGGAGGTCAACGCAGTACTTTGGGCTAAAAGGTAGGTAGGTGTTTTACCAAGCACGAGTGTTATCTGTAAAAGTAGCTATGCAAGAGTATAAGTATTAGCTGTCTGTAGCTTCGATTTTTCCCTAGCTAGACATCTGCAGCACCTGAGTTTTCTTCCCCTTGAAGACTTTTGACGTGAAAGACGCAAGATTTACAAGGCCTTCACATTGCTCCACATCCCTACGGCTGCTCAGGTGAACTTCCTGTACCCTAAACCCTAAACCAAAACCCCAAGCCACAAGCCCTGAACCCTGAGCCCTAACCTCAAGCTTTCAATCCTAAGCCTCAAGCCTTGAGCTTCAATTCCTAAACCCTCTGCCTGAACCCCAGGTCCTGTGTTGGGCCGCCCCCGGCGCCACCGCCGATGCATCCGGCACCCCCGGTGCCATGGTCACAGGACTTCAGATTTATAGTGATATAGAGGGATTTAGGGTTTAGGGTTC